TATGTTTTTTTGAAGATAGTGACAGATTCTGCGGTCTGGATTGAGGTTGGAAGTTCTCTCCACCACTGAGGGACAGTTAGTGTGAAGGTTCTGGAAAGGGACCTTGAGCCACACAGAGCAGACACTACTAAGCGTCGGTCATTAACCGATCGCAGATTGCAGATTTAATATTTTTGTTTGTTTGTTTTATTTTGTAGATCCCTTCTGGAACCAAAGATGCGGCAACAGCCTGATCATGTACTGAAACACACACACACGCACACACACACACACACACACACACATACACAAACTTCAAACATTTCTGACGTTCTGCTGGAAAAATCCATATTTCTTTTTGATAACTGAATGTTAAACACAACTCCTGATTGGCTGTAGACGTGCTAGGTGGGCCCTCTGTTCAATTGATACCACTCTGCTGGAATGCCTCCTTCAGGCCTTGTCTAAACTTCGGTGCAAAGCGTTACTTGAAAGAGAGACTGAGATCAGCTTGACAAATACAAACCACTACAATAAACAATGAACCAAAACAATCTGTTAGCACATGTCAATGATATCTTGAATAATTGATCGATTTATGGGAGTTGTGTTGTTCCCCAACCGAGTGCTGTATTACAAGAAAAATGTGCATAAACAAAGTAACAAACACTTATTTTATATATATATATATTATTTCATTGTACTATATTTAGAGTTTCTGTTTGTTTTCAGGTAATGTCACGTTACAAAGATGGATATGGAAGCAAGCTCAGATCAAACAAAATACAAAGACACAATAACATGAGTTAAAATACTGTGGCAAAAACTAAACATGGAAGCATGGACAAGAGCATAGATAGATGATACGTAAGACGAGGAAGCAATACAAACAGTGGTTATATACAGGAGTGCTCGTTAAACAGAAACATGATACAGGTGCAGGTGGTCATGTGACAATGATGTAGTATAGTGCAGTGGCTGCTGGGAAATGAAGTCCAGAGTTCCCTCCTTGATACATGACAGAACCTCCCCCTTAAGGGCGCTTCTCCCAGAGCGCCCAAAATGCACTCCCTCCCTCTGGGGGGTCCTGGCCCCCTGGGCAAAATGTCCCCAGCTAAACCAGGTGACTGAGCGGCATCCTCAGTGGAACAATAAAGCAATACAATGTCCTCACCGGAACAGGTAAGCAGAGCAACATCCTCAGTGGAAAAGGTAAGTGGAGCGGTGTCCTCAGCAGAAAAGGAAAGCAGAGCGGCATCCACCGCGGAAAAGGTAAGCAGAGCGGCATCCACAGTGGGGCTGAAGCTCAGAGCGACGTCCTCTGTGAAACAGGATAACGGGATGTTCATTACAGCAGGACAACTTCCTCAGCAGGACAGGAGTGGGGAGCAAGGTTCTCTGCAAGGCCCGAGGGAAGTTCCAAGATTTCTGCGAGGCCATAGAGGGTAGATCCAGAAGCTGTCCCAGGAACTCTGGGAGCATGATGGGAGAATCACCCTGGTCAATATGGCAGTCCATCCCAGGCCACCCTGCACACACACACACACACACACATTTATACACTCATTCACAGCTAACGGCAATTTATCACAGTACATGCATGTTTTGGGTGCTGGGAGGAAACTGGAAACCAGAAGAAAACCCACAAAGATACAAGGAGAAAATCTGTAATTCCATACAGACAGTAACCCGAGCTCTGGATCAACCCGGGGTCCCTGGAACTGTTCATTTTGATGATTTAGACATCATGATTCGTTTAAAATTCTGGGTTTACTATGCAATAGGTGTATTGCATAATATAATCAGTGAAGATCAGAATAGATTTTGTAAAAATTTTCATATGACATTGTATCATAAATATACTTCTAAATAGTGTTTAGACCCAACATCTAAATAGTTTTGCGCCACTAGAAAAAAAGTTGTGGATGCCTATGAGTCTGGCAAGGGATATATCTTTCCACTACCAATTTGTCCAGAACTGGCCGTACCATCAAATTCAGCCCAAGAGCAGACCGTATGATACAAAAAGAAGTCCCCAATAACCCCAAAGCCCGGATGTGAATCCCACTTAAATCTTGTGGGGGATTTGAAATGGGCAGTACATGCAAGAAAACTCTCAAACATCTTGCAACTGAAAGAATATTGCATGGAAGAGTGGTCAAAAATTCCAGCAAGGCGAAGTCAGAGACTGGTGGATAATTATGCAAAATGCCAACAAGAAGTTATTTCTGCTAAAGGGGTCAATACTAGTTTCTAAGGCCAAGGGTGTACTTAGTTTTTCCACAGATGAATATCACATCTATTTATATTTCTGTTGAATAAATGATTGAAAAATCTCATTTTCCTTGAGTTTTTGTTCACGTATATTAACATTTTTAATAGGCATTGTCTCAAAGATTATCTAAAAAACCCCCACAAAAAACACACAAAAAAACCCAACAATTTCTATGGGGTGTACTTATTTTTTCACTTGATTGTATATCATAGGGCCTACAGTATATAAAAGATTTTAGAACAATGTACAATATAACATGGGTTTGGTGGTCTAAGCATAATAGGAGCATAATCGAACAGTAAAGAAATTCCATTTCTTGTTTGATTTCTAGAGTCCACTAGGGAGGACTCTTACCAATCAAGCCCAGGGATAAAAAAAAAAGAAGAGAGAATCTACTCCCAAAATCACTCAATAGTGTGTATGAGCTGTGTCCAGAAAATGACCAGACATTTATCAAGGATCCAAGAGGATGTTCCTGCTGGACAGGAAAGGGACATGAATAAGACTGCCGCTGATGATGATTATGAACTTCTTCTGATCATTGGTAAGTGTTCCTGCTTTCTAATGGTATATGTGTAAAGTTGTTTCCTTTAATGGTCCAATGACATTCACAAATTTATTTTTCTGCTAAAAGATGACAAGGAATTCTCTGAAGAATCAGAAATGGATGCATCTTTCTCCATCTTGGTCTCCCTGATGCTCTAGAAAATTATGATGGAGGTTAATATTATGAGGATGATTTTGAGCCTTTTGTTGAAAAAGAGCTTCCAGAGAAGAAGAAGATACAACACAGCTTCAGCCAACCACAAGGGTTTCTAACATATTTCTTATGTAATTTATTACTTAGGGAAAGAAGCCATCTTCGGACATGGCACCACAAAGTAAACTTAAAAAAATACCATACTTTCTATCAAGCACACAGACACAAAAAAAGCCATGATTGTGCGTAGTCCTGAAAGGTGAGTAGTCATTAAGTACACGATATGGCCAACAGTATGTAGTATGTAACATCTCACCCATATGTGCATTTTCAACATCCCTTTCCAGATTTACTCCCCGTTTGCTCTTATAATAACCTTTCTACTAGATTTTGTAGCATGGCTGTGGGGATTTGCTCATTGGGGTTCACTGGGGTGCAACTGGAGTCACAGTTCATCCGAAAGGTGTTCAGTGGGGTTGAGGTCAGAGCTCTGCACAAGATAGTCGCATTCTTCCACTCCAATCTTGGCAAATCATGTCTTCCTGGACCTGTGTGCCCAACTTTGTGACAACAGTTCAGTAGTGGCCCACGTATTGGTGTGATGGTCAGGTGTCTACAAACATTTGGCCATATAGTTTAGTTTGACAGGGTACTTGAATTGAACGGGTTAAATCTAAATCCAAATAACTCGAATAATATTCATTTGGACCTAATGTATTTAAAGAGCCCCTTCTCTTTAACCAAAACCAAAGCCATCTTGCCCTGATGATTTTCTAGACTTAGTGTCAGAAGGAGATGCTGTGGTAAAGCAGTCTTAAATGACAATCTGTCAAATAACAGGTTAGTGGAACAAAAACAGCATTTGAACTCACATCTGTCCGAAATGTAATACTCCTAACAGAAATCTGTGTATCTCTGCCATGAGCGTATACAGTCATTACATTAGTAATGTTTCCCCAGACCATTGAAAGTGATCGCCAGGATTTGCTGGTCATTCTGTATAACACTTGTCTCCCCCAATGTTGAGCAAATACCTATCTGTCAACCCTCAATATACAAGAGAAAATATTTTCTATATATCCCACTTTAATTTTCCCTGCCAACAGATCTGTCTTTTCTTCATCTATTCTCCATCCATCCATCTTCATCCTCTTATTCCTTCTTCAGGGTCGCGGGGAACCTGGAGCCTATCCCAGGAGGCATTAGGCACAAGGCGGGGTACACCCTGGACAGGGCACAATCACACTCACACACCCATTCATACACTATGGACAATTTAGACACGCCAATCAACCTACCATGCATGTTTTTGGACTGGGGGAGGAAACCCCCGCAGCACACATGCAAACATGCAAACTCCGCACACACATGGCCCCGGCAGGAATCGAACCCCAGACCCTGGAGGCGTGAGGCGAAAGTGCACCTCTTCATCTATTCTATTTATTTTATTTATCTATTTATTTATGTCTATTCTTTTTTATTTCCATTTGTTAAGGAAAATTGGTGTGTCCCCCTCTAATTGTACACTTGGTTTCAAGCATACGCAACTCAAGTTGGTTGATATATTTTAGCAGCTCAGTCTGTAAGAAATGGAGACAGCAGCCAATAGTAGAAAAGTGCAGCAGAACATATGAGCATTATTCAGACAGTAAGTAACTAGATACCTAAATATCTAGGCTAAAGTCAGTTCCAGTTTTTGACCATTAATGGTACATTCACATACACATCCTCCCGCCGAGTTTGTTGTGAATGCTCATGTTGTGACAGACTGTTATAAATGTTATAAACGCGAGTGAATGTGAGGAAAGTTGCACAGCATTTTGTTCGCAGAGAATACATCTGCCCACAGGACGTCCACAGCACCCTACTATTTCCCCATGCTGTTGGAGCTTCTATCACTCAGAAACCATATCAATTCAAACAGTAACTGTAATCCTAAAACTATGTTCTAAGTATGCAAATTTTTAGTATCAAACTTTGGAAGCTTGGTGACCAGGGGAGGGGGTCTAGAACTTGGAACCCCCCCATGTCCATACCATGCTTACGCCCCTGGTGCACACAGATTTGAATCAGGGACCGCTTGAGCTGCAGTCAAATGCTCTACCACTGAGCCCCTTGGGAAATTTCAGATAACATCTGCTGCTTTTTACAGGATATTTCATTGTAATACACTTAAAGTCAGTGATAATCATGTCACAGTTAATGGTACTTCATAGCTGACAAGAGCCAGACAGGAGTGCACAGATTTGAACAGCGACCTCCTGTGAATCATGCTCCTAAGATTTTCTATTGAATACAGACCTGTAACTGGAAAGGCCACTTAAGAAAATGTACCTCATTTTCATGAAACCAGTTTGAGATATATGGTACTGCTTTTATATTTTTAAGATTTAGGTAATAGTAGAATGCACAATCCAGATATTAGGACAAAAGCCTTCGCTGTGAAAAACATTAGAAACCCTCATAGAATTTGATAATATGTTATGTCTAGTGGATACCATTAAAGACTAATAATGGTAATAGTTTTAATGGTTAGCTGATGGTTTGTAATGGTATTTGTAGTGGAACCCATTAGAATTTCTGGAGGTTGTTCCTATTGTTTTTTCAGCAGAGGCTGAATGTCTTTTTTTTTTTTTTTTTTTTTTTTTTACCTAAGATTGGGTTTATTACTCCACAGATCCAATACATGGCTCTAATACTCATAGTTAAAAAGTAGTGGGAGTGAAGATGTTTAAGGCAACATAGTAACAATTGACACAATTTGCATGAAATGTTATTTTATTTAAAAAAAATAATCTACATTAAGGTTAAAGATGAGATTAAACATCTTGCATTTAAGTGAAAACTAAATCCAACCACATCACCCTTGTCTGTTTTAATTTATATACTTTAAAACAACAAACAAACTTTTTTTAAACTAAAGGGAAAATATATATCAAACTGTGCATTCACCAGAAGTGCAGAGCCCCACAAGAAGTGCATAAGAGGCAATTTGTAACAAATTGCCCCACATACATTACAGCGCATTTTACAGTTATCATTACATTTAGTAATACAGATTTACTCTGAAAAGGCTTTTCAGTCTGGTCCTTTCCGTATCATAGTGCATGCATAGGCTACAGTCTGACAGATTCCTAATATTTGAATGTTAAGCGCATTAAGTTAGTAATGGGTAATGCAGAAAAAAATATCAACAAGATTTAATTATTCATTAAATTATACTTCATTATGTCCTGCTACAGTTCCAAAACTGTAAGCACAGCACAGAGCAGAGCACCTCTCTTAAATAATTACACACTCTAAATAAGCTGAATATACAAAATCCCAAATATCTAATGTTTCATTGCAAGCTATGCCACTTAGAGTCACACTCTTACAAAAAATGTTAAAATCATACCCTTAAGGGTATGTTAGTTATCTCTTTGGAGGAACCCTTGAAGGTTGTATGTAAAACTTTACAACAGACTGTTTTCAAACAAAAGCATTTTCAGGAAGCCAAGAACTATACAATAAACTGTTGCAGAACCCTTTATCTAAGAACGTAGGAGTTTGCCTTTGACCAGCAACTGAATATGCACATAATTTCCACTTCTACTCTCTAATAACTGGAACTGCTCAGTCGTTTTCAACCGCAAAGAGTTTTACATTCTTCCACAATGTGATCTTCATTAAACAGTAGAATAGTAATATTGGCTCTATTAGAAAACTATGATTGTCACAATGCTTTTGTGAAATAAAGCCATATATCCCTAAAGTCATTATACTAAGAAGTACCTGATTCAGCTTTTGATAACTAATTAAATATTCTATTCTTGCAAATTGCACCAATGATTCTCGAAGTTACTCTTATTAGGGTGGATGTTTGTCAAATATGGGTAAGTTAACCTGACAGGGGTGTAACCGATACAAATACATTATGCAGATTGAATGGATAATGCTTAGTTAGTTAGTTAAAGTTACATTTATAGACACTCAAAGCCCTTTACATAATATTGGAGTGGGGGTGCGGGTGGCGTGGAGAATCTCCTCAACCACCACTAGAGTGTAGCATCCACTTGGATGTTACGACGGCAGCCACAGTGCGCCAAGATTCCCACCACACACCAGCTATTAGTGGAGAGGAGAGAGTGATGTAGCCAATTCAGTGATGGGGATTATTAGGTGACCATGATAGAGAAGGGCTAATGGGGGAATTTTGCCAGGAGACCAGGGTATACCCCTACTCTTTATGAGAAGTGTCCTCAGAGAGTCATGAACTCGGTTCAACGTCTCACGAAAAACAGTGCAGTTTTTACAGTGTAGTGTCCCCGTCATTATACTGGGGCATTAGGACCCACACAGACCACAGTGTGAGCAGCCCCTGCTGGACTCACTAAAACCACTTTAAGCTGTAACCTTAGTTTTCCCCAGGTTGTATTCCATCCAGGTACTGGCCAGACTCAACCCTGCTTAGCTTCACTGGGACACCAGGCAAAAGGTAAAGGGAGATACGGCTCCGGCTCTAACATATTGTTAAAAAAAAAAAAAAAGCCTGAATACAGATACATATTGTAAATGGAGTACTTTTTTCAAAAATTGTACAAAAAGACATAGGAAAAGGTAGACTCCTCAGTCTTTTTGTGGAAGTTAACAGTTATTCACATTTCTGATTTGCTGTATCTATCTGCAATACTCTATGTATTATGCACAGAACTTATACATTATACACAGAACTTAGTATCCCTGTTCACAGAACACAAGTTCCTTAACATTTTATATAGCAGTTAGTTCCGATCCACTAATTTGGCCAATATATAACTCCACTTGTCTGTGTTCGGTAGATAAAATTCCAATTCTATGATTCAGTACAACAGCACTCTTGCTTGTGTGATATTACTTAAATAGGAATTGGAAATGCACTAGATTTTTCATCTGTGATTTGCTGAAGTAGCCCGACCTCACTGCGCTCCCAAATAAAAACACATTTCTAAAATATGTCATCACAAACAATAGAAATGATTTTATTTATTGAGCAGCTCATCCATATAGTCTGTAAATATATTGTTGATTTATATACATTTATCAGCAGGGGTGGAAGAAACTTGAGTATTGATACTTTGGTTCTTTAGTTAAACATTATTTTGTTTTAAAACAAAATAATTAGTAAAAATAATAATTAAACATATTTATTGCATATAATTAAACATTATATTGTTTTAGTATATGCAATAAATATGTTTAATTTATACACAAAGTAAGTAACATGGCACTAAAGTTGTATTTACATTTTAAATTCCATTTATTGCTGTTTGTCTTTCTATAACTTGTGCGTTATTTTATTATATGTTGTTATGTGTTGTTGTCATACCAAGCTGCTAATCAAATTTCCCATGTGGACAATGAATAGAAATGAAATGATCTGAACTGTACTTTTTAACGTTCACTTTACCACGTTTACCACTTGAGGGCATTTTTTTGTCTGGAAACTTCCACTTTTATTTGAGTACGATTTTGACACTTGTTATTTGTGCTTTCACTTAAGTGTAATTTTTCAGTACTTTTTCAACCGCTGTTTATGAGATATGAGCACATAAGTTTTTTCTTGTTGTGTTGAAACCTGTGTGCTTGTTACTTGTAGAATTGGATGTTCACCCATGCCTCAGACACCCATGCCTTAGAATTTGGTATTCTTCCCTTGCTTTTTCCATTTGTAAGTGTAATTTGCCAATAGTTTGTCAATAATTGCATTTTCCCTGGAAAACAACCCACACCAATACAAACACTCATCAAACCCCCCACCCATCCCCCCCCACCCTCCCGCCCCCCACACACACACGAACCTCTGTATGGCTCAGTCTAAAAGTCAATATTTTATTTTAGTTTACTGTTTAATATATAATGTGTGTAATGTTTATTTTAATAATGTGGGATTCTACTTTGTGTTGGCAGGATTTTGTTTACATTTGTGTGGATCATTGGCAGCTGCAACACTGTGAGGAGACAGATGGAGAATCACTTGAAGTTATGATAGATAAAAGACTCAGACAGTGCTAGTATTAACTGTAAAGCATAAATATATGTTGTGCTCCAAGTACATTTACATTTATTCACTATATGGGTTTTCGATATTTTAAATTTTGTTTTCCTTTGTTAGTATAAAAGAAAAAAAACCTGTGAATGTTTACTGCACAATTTGGTTTTGTTTCTTCTCAATGGAATATTTGGGAAAGGGAGGGGAGGACAGAAGAGAACAGGCGATGTTCAGCAGACATGTAGACGTTCAGCAGAAATGTTCAGCAGAAATGTTCAGTAGAAACGTTCAGCAGAAACGTTTAGCAGAAATGTTTAGTAGAAATGTTCAGTAGAAATGTTCATGAGAAATGTTCAGGAGAAATGTTCAGTAAAAATGTTCAGCAGAAATGTACAGCAGAAATGTTCAATAAAAATTAAACTGGAAAAAAAAGGAAATATTTCATTTTCTATTCTTCTATTTACAACAGAAATTGGTGTAAAGGTTATCTTGCTGAACAACTTTGTACTAGACCTAGTGTGTACACTAGATAAGATTAAGATAGATAAGATTATTACTGCTTGCACTGTCTGTTATAATATGTCAAACTTGTTTCACATGAAATGTACTGTATATCATACGTGTATGTGTCACAGATTTCCCCTCACAGAGCATTCAGCTCGCATGAGAATTTGACTTTTGCACTTGCTCCTTATTTTTGCAGCAATACCCAGCAGCCTTCATTATGTTTTTCATCTAAATAATGGTCTGAAACAATATGCTGCTTTTTTTACACACATGCAGAAACTTTTGTGTAACAATTTTTTTTTTATTGGAAAACTAAAAAATATTTGGAAATGTAAAATGTTTTTGTACTGACTCGACAATGTAGAAGTCATAAAATAAAAATCTATAACAAAGTTTTTATTAAGACTTTTGCATAGTATTGTACACACACACGTACATACATTTAAACAAAAATGGGTGTTTGAAAATGTTTTTGAATACCATCAGTTTGTACGATTTGTCTGTAAACTGTGTTGCATTGTCACTTGCTGCTTGCAGGATTTTGTTTAACATCAGGTGTCATGCTGAGAGGTGCAACACTGTGTGAGGAGACAGAGAAATGAC